GGACTCTACGTGTTCGCACATACGTGAACGCATAGCGAACATGGCGTAAAAGATAGGGTTTTTGGAAGACAGGCAGAGGGAATGAAATCTGTTGACGCATGAAAGACTAGAAATGCTAGCACAAAATGACGCAATGTTAAAATTAGACTTTGGGAGCGGTCTTTTGTCGTGTCTTGCCACTGATCCCATTGGCATTGAGACGATGAGAAGATTGCGTAGGCCGCAGAAGAGGGAGGTGGGCTGAAACCGTGGGAAATGCAAGAAATGGACAGAATTTTCCCGGGTGTTTGCATGTATGTCTGGAGAACCCTTAGTTGAGGAACACCGTCGCCGTTGTTCCTGAGAAGCAGCTCTGTTGTGATTATTGTTCTTGTTGCCACAACAACTAACTGGCGACGAGGCGACACTTGTCTCGTCAAGTGGAAGACTTTGGGTAGCTCACTGCAGTTGAAAATGCGCGAAAATGTCGCGCTTGCGCCTCTAGTAGTACATTGACTCAGAGGAGTAATGCTGCCAGGAGGAGTAGCTGGTAAGCGAGGAGAAGCCCGCAAAATTCGGTCGAAAATCGATGGTGTAGGGGTTTGGGGGACTGATGGATGCTACCGAATCACCCGCCGCAGTTGTTGAGCATCCAGGTGCCCCCATTACATTCGGCGGGTGAACACGAAAAAACTGAGCGTCCTTGCCGCCACTGCTGTCATTGCCACAGCCAGGGGCGAACGAGTTGACGCCGTCATTGCGGCCAGCCGACAGGTGGGCGTCCAACTGTGAGCCTGGGGGAGATGGGATAGTTGCCCTACCTAAGCTATTGGTTTGGTTCAGCATTGGCCGGGGTGACGCCTGGCGTTGGACGACGTAATTGCAGCCATCATTATTGTCCCAGTACTCACCAGCACTGCCGTTAGGTCCAGCTTGGAAGCAGACAGCGAATTGAAGCTCCTGACCGTGGTTGCATGAAAGCGCCGTGTCCGGAAAACGAACTGAGAAGTTAAAGATGAAGGTGTCAAAGCGTCCGCCGGCTCCGCTAACAGCGGACAGTTCTGAGTTATGGGTGGCTGGGTAGTCTTTGAAGCTTTTCCACTGATCATCAGTTACACGCAGTTTGACGTGCTTCTCGAAGCTAATATTCTTCACTTTTACCGTGCCGTAGAGCCGGACTGCACAGATATCGTCCTTGGGTGTAGAGACAGTAACATTTTCCAGTGATACGCAGCCCGTGTCAAGTCGCTGACGAAAAGCCAAGTACTGTGCGGCGGGTTGAGCAAATGTCAGTCGCCAGGAGGACTCAATGGGAGACAAATCGGATGACATACTCGGGCTGTAGTCATTTGGACGCGTGGCATTCTGACCGGCGGCAGAGCCCGTTACAGGCACCGGCGGCAGAGTAAATGTAGGTCGTCCAGAGAACAGACCGGTGGCTGGTGATAATGAACGTTGGAAGGTGGGGATTGTCGCAAAATCTCGGTAGTCGTCATCGAGGGCTGTGAAACAGAACATTAAAAGTTAAAAGTATTGCAACAGGTTACAGATGAATAGAAAGTGCGAAACGTACTGCTCGTAAGTACTTAAAATCTGTGCGTCTAAGGCATGTATAATTTGGGACTGAGGCTTGTTTAAGGGCTCACAGTTCTGCTTGAACCGCAACCGCATTCTTAGGCGGAAGATGGCCAAACAATTAAACTTTTCATGGAGGCGTGCTAAAGTTTTCAACTCACCCTGACGACACAATTGCCTTATTGGCACCTTGCACAGCAATATATATCTCCAAACCTACAGTAGTTTGCAATTAGGAGAAGATACTGTAGCATGTGCAAGCTTATTTCGTGTGCAATTTTGTTTGACAACAGTCCGGAATATGTAAGTTTTAGGCGCATTTAACTGCATGTAAACTATGACTTAGATGACTTCTAGGACGCAAAATGGAAAGGTTGAACTGACTTTCTTAAGACGCATGTTTAGACTTCAATATTAAGGCCAGATTTCAAAAACTGAGAACCCCCATGGTGAGAACTTCGTGCAGACCACTGTCCAGTCACGGGAATGGAGCCAGCCTAAACTTCCCCAGTGGATAGGAAGAAAGATGAAATAAAATCAAGCGAGTATACTTACTGCACATATATGGTTTCTCAACGATGATTCTAAGAGTGAATTTCGTTCTACTGCTGTTTTACAGTCACCACTTCCTCTGGGACGTTTATTTGTTTCGTTGCCAGCTGCTGTCCTGGTTTTCGTTCATACTACGATTTGTTAGAGAGGCGCTATATGGGTAGTTGCTACCAATTGAACTGTTAAGCCACCAACTTACCAGTAACTACATTTTTCATTCCAAATGAAGACAGAAAGAAATTTCAGGGAGGCCGACGTGAAGTCATGATATGTACAACTTGGGTCAAACCCTCCGAAATAGTGAATCTCCTATAGTAATGCATAGCTGTTTTCTCCACTGTAACATTACAATCGAAATGTTGGTCGGATCTTATTTCTTAGCCGTTCCTGCAGTAGACAAGCTCCAGCCTAACCCTAACCCCTAACAGGTACGGCTACGAAATGGAATCTTGCCAAAACTTTTTGCTAAAGCTAAAATCGGGAAGTCGTTGAAGACGGTTGCATAGACTAAGGGCTAGTATTTACGAGACATCCCCCTCCAAAAAAAAGTGTTTACTGTGGTAAGGGCTGCAATGAAGTAGTTCAATGCAAGCATCGAAGACAGGCGACTTATCAGTGAATCTAACTCAAGCTCAGCGCCTGCGGAGAGAAATGCAGTGGTAGGTTTTGGAACAATTCCGCTTTTAACGTTGTGCAACCACTTAATATAGTGTTTCAACAACCTAAATAAACTCGACGAGGCTCTTTAAAAAAGTGATGAGTAACCAGGATGACCCTGTCAGCCAGTTTTAACAAATAGAGAAGAATGAAGGGGTTTTCGATACACCATGTAAATGTCTACGATACCGTCACATATGGGCCTAGGAATGCAAATTAGTGAATAAATAAAACTGGACAGGAAATGTTAACCTAGATACTGAAACGCATCTCCGATTAGAAAGGATTGCTTAAGGGGAGTTGTAATATTGATTGTTGTGCGGCATAATTCCGATATATTTCAGTAACGCCAGGATGCCGGTTTTCGAATGCCCTTTGTGCGGTCTCCTGCACAAACCACACTCAGTAAAAAAAGGATTTGTGCTCAAGTGTTATTAATTTTCGACTGATTTCGATACCCTTGTAAATCCAAATACATTTTGCAGAAACGCACAAAAACATCCTTCGTTGTACTCATTTGGTAGCAAATCGCTTCTTTCTCAAGTTTTGCGCAAGAAATTATATCCCTCGGTTTAAAGAAGGGTTGTAGTCATGGGATTTTTAAGACCGCTAAATACATATTCAAACAGCATTGTGTCTGTACATTTATTAATGTTCCTTACGAAGTATACGACATCCACATCCACTGCAAAATGTTGTGAGCTCTGTCTGGTATTTTCTTAACGGCATGGAGAAAAATATGACTTTCCCTGCATTGTAATTAGAAAGCCCGTATTTTACTAATGTCGTACACAACTGCAACGACAGACCGGGTTAGACATTAGTCTTGTGTTGAAAAACTTAAAAACCAAAAAATACCGCCTATTTGAGTAGAAACACCGAAGCTATAAACTAATACTAAATGAATACAAGGAATATTTTGGCGCCTGCCTTCTATAAAATCTATTTGAATCTATGAGGACATAAACAACAACTTGGAGGCCACATTACTTAAGCACTCATTTTTGTTGAGTGTGATTTTTGAAGGCGGCCGGCACATTCTAAAGCCGGCATCCTAGCATGACTGAAATATAGCGGCATTGTGTTGCACGATAATCGATAGTCCAACCATACCCAAGTAATAATTTCAAAAGGAAAACGCCTTTCAGAATATCGGCTTAAATTTCATGAGATATGCCCTTATTGTAAAAGCGACCGATATGCTCTGAAACATGAGGAGTCCATCGTGATCCTTCCTGAAAGGAAAAGCTGAACCTAACAAGCTTTTCTTAGAGAGTGAATATAAACCAAACTTAGATTATTCTTTTAGAACGGAAAATGAAGTATTATTGAAAATAACCAGATGCCAATTAAAAGTTGACAAGGTGCTCGTTAAGAAAAAGGTAGTAGCATCTGAGAATTGGGCTCGAGGCAGCACTTACAGTCAAGACGCTTTCGGTGCAACAGCGGAGGCAAGGAGGAATCGGCGACAAGGTGTTCATGAGCCAGCGGGAAACCTTCCTCATCGGCAAATCGAACGGCCTTCCGGGGCTTCTTGTGCAACTCGCTCGTTGTTAAACTGTGTGTCAAGTGTCGACCCTGTCGAGAAGTTTCATTCAGTGACTTATCCGAGGCAACTTCGTCTGGTTCAGTCATTACAAGGTCGGGTGTACCAGAGGTCTCTTCAGAACCTTGCAACGTTGAGGCCTCCACAGTAATATTCGGTCCCGACTGGCTGGGCGGATATGCAGCAAGTCCGTCCGCCGAGGAATCAGCAGTGATTTTTTCGGCGTCCTCTGTCTTGCAGGGCACTGTAAATACATTGGAGACAACTTCTTCAGTCTTGGCCCCTTCACCGTCATCCTTCGGCTGATCAGAAATTGTGAAGCTCACAACATCTACCGAACTGGAAGTGGAAGCAAGTGGTATTGGTTGCGTAGCATCTGTCGACTTTCTTTCTTCCCCAGTTTCGTCCCCAACTTCCAGCCCAGAGGACAAAAGGTTTTCCTCCCCTTCTTGGCCTTCCTTCTTTGTGTAGGATATTTCACTGTCACTGAGAGATAGCCGTTTGCGACGGCTTGCAAACATTGCACCAATTTGGATGTTCTTCAAACGCAGGGGCGTAAGGGAGCTGTCGTCTTCACAGGCTTCCTCGATGCGTCGATGGAATAGATCAGTGTCCCTCCTTGAGCCTATTTCGCGTTCACTGCTACTTGACCGAGCCGGTCTGCTACGGCGCAGATTAGAAAGTGTACATTGCGCTTTTGAACATGAATAGGTCCCAGAGGAAGCAAGGTTGGTTAGAGAATGCCTAAGTTGAGCTTTATCTCTAATAATTTTTAGTAACCATCGTTCGATGGACTTTGGCAAGGCTGTCGGTTCCTTTTCTGACGGATCTGATGGCGAGGTCTTGTTTAGGCGACGGGTGCTAATAAATGTCGTCGTCGCAATACATGGATTTTGACTTATTGCAATCAGTTTTTTGAGTACGCACTCGTGAGTGTATTCATTCTTCAGAATTTTTCCAAAGTCGTGCTCCTGAAGAAACTTCCAAGGTGAAGTGTTGCTAATAAGTCCATCATCTGCGTAAGCTGGCACATCTTCATCCATCGTCCAATCAGAATTCAAAGATGCGATGTAAGAGTTGCGGTTGTAACCTAGTTCAATCATTGACCCTGTCCAATGTCTTCCAACCGAGTAAATCAATCCGAGTTCTGAGGCCATCTTCTACTGTACTAAAATGAGAAACTCTAGTAACTACACAGCCATGTGGAAATCCACATCCACGCACGCACCCGTTCCGAGGCGGACAGTTGTCAATGCTAATATTTAGAGGACTAGTGTAGTGCGCATTCCGGCTGGGAGTATGTTAGCCAATCAGAGCTCCGTGTCAAGTCGTGGCAGCCAGTCACGTAGGCAAGACAGACTAGCCCTCTGAATCGGCCTTCCGATTGGTTCACGCTACTGGAGTGTCGAGAGTTTAACACATCGATTTTTGTCTCGTAGGCGAGTAAATGGTGCTTCCTTCACCGCGTCCGCCTGGATGTCAACTCAGGCCGGCACTGTTTAGACGAATGTTTCCAACATCGGTGTCTGTTTATGCTATTTTCAAATGCCGTTAATAAGAGCCCGTTTTCTCTTACCACTCTCCAGCCCTGACTTAGTGTTTGCACATCCATGCGCCACTCATGTGCTTTGCATAATCGTGTGGGTGGCCCCCCTCAGGGACTGCGAGTTCTGACCGCCTGAAGCATGTTGCGGTCACGCCCCTCGAGGTGCTTGGTCACTGGCACTTTAATCTGCGTCGGAACAAATACACGCCCATGTGGGCTCTCGACTGAGTTGAGGTGGGCCGCGAACTATTTTATCTTGCCTAACTCTATGATGGCAAAGCAGTCTTGAACATAACGCACCAAAAATTTGAGCAAGTACGTTTATAAAGCTTACATGTTGAGGCCTCGGAGCACAGCTCCAGCAATCAGCCTATAAATCGGGGAACCCGTTAGCGTACCTTTTATCTACTCTTGTGTGGCCCCATGCGGGATGAAGAAGGTCATGTGACAACACTCCAAGAGTTTCATAAGATCCCAGACTATGGACTTGTCGTCTGCACCATAATAACGGTTATGCGGTAGGACACTTATCATCTCCATTGTAGGGGGTATGAATGTAAAGGGGATCGTGGCGTTGAATGGCACTATCCCCTCACCTGACTCCATTGTGACGTTCTTGAGTTTGCCCAGGAATTGTTCACATGGTTAGACTGTCGTTGGTGAACACAGTGGCAGAGATTTTATTATGTGGAGCAGCCATTTCACAAGACTGTGAACCTCTGTTCATAGGCGGGCGGGATATTACCTCAGTGTCAGCCTTTAACTCCCTCGACATTTCTTGTTCCCTCCCTCCTTTCGTCTTCAGAAAGTCTAGACGCAGACGAGCCATTCAGGCTCCAGAATATGAACAAACCCTGGTCATCAGAAAGGGTGTGCGAGATTAAAACAAATGTCCTCCATAGAAGATCTGGTTCCAACATGACCTATGCAGACATAATAGGTACAATAGCATTACCGACAAAGACGAGGGAGACTGGAATGACCATTTCCGACTTATTAGCCGTCATCAGTCATCCATGTCCAACCCTCAGGTGTGGAACGTCGGGGACTCGATCTCGTGACCTGTCGACTAGAATTTCAACGTCCCTAACCACTGTTCCGCAGCCTCGCTGTCCTGTCGGTTGCGATCGGGTATATACAGTAGGTGGGCTAACTCATGAAATGTCAACCGAAATTCTGAAATGCGTTTTCGTTTCTAAAAGATGAATTAAGTAGGGTTGTAAAACTAGTCAGCCTGCAACACAATTCTATAATATTTCAGTTACCTCAGGATGTCGGCTTTCGAATGAACTTCCTTCTGGCTGCATGCACAAACTATACTCTGTAAAACTGACTATTTGAGTAGCATGGTTTTTTTCATTGATTTCCGGTGCCCCTAAATGTCCAATCATATTTCATGGAAAACATGCATAAAAATGTTCATTTGTTTGCTCATTCGGTAGATAATCACGTCCTCTTTTAACTTTGTACCCGAAGGAGGGACATAATTCGGTTTCTAAAAACTTTTCCAATTCCTGAATAATTTTAAACCCGCTCCACCGTTACACTTGAATCCAGGGTTTCCAAACTGCAAGCCGTATATTTTCCGCGTACGGAAAACCATGCATTTATCTACGGTAATAAAGGAGAATCATATAGGGTTCATACAATTATGCAGTGAATTTGATCAATATTGTTAACTTTACAGGCCACGTTGATAAATGCAGAGACACGACGTTTTATGAACGGCCATTTCATGGTATTAAAAAGTCCCACAATTAGAAACTTTTTAAAACCGAATTATGTCCCTCCTCCGAGCATAAATTTGAAAGAAGACATAATTTTCTACCGAATGAGCGAAATAATTCATATTTTTATGCATGTTTTCTATGAATAATTATTGACTTTTTAAGGGCATCGAACATCAATGAGAAAAACGCGTGCTGCGTAAGTAGTTATTTCTACAGAGTGTAGTTTTTGTATGCAGCCGGAAGGAAGTTCATTCGACAGCCGGCATTCTGGGGTAACTGAAATATTATGGAATTATGTTGCAGGCCGACTATTTTTACAACCCAACTTAATTAATCTTTTCGAAACGAAAACGTATTTTAGAATGTCGACTGAAATTTCATGAGTTAGCCCACCTACTGTACAGTGGTAGAAGGGCGCTCACCGGTCGCCGCACAGCAGCGCGTAATATAGGCAGAATAGCATTACCAACAACGGTGTTTGTTGTATGTCGTGCGCGGACGCCCGAGTAGGTGTAAGATCATCTCCAACAGCGCATCCATCACTAGTTAGTGTCACACAAAAACCATCCATATGATCGCGTGACATATAAGTACTCCCACGTATGTTCTTGCAAACTGACTGTTTCCGCGGCTGGCAGGAAAATCCCACATGAAAGGTCCGGCTGAATTGTTGATTTGAGTTTGTTTATATTGAACTGGATATAGACGTAAAATTAATATGGCGTATTATATTTGTACTTGCAACACCTGTGGTCATACCTGACTTAGCTGGCCCCGATGGTGTCACTGGCAGTACCTCTTCGTGCGTAATGATATGCGGCAGCAGATCAGGAAAGTTCGACCCATTCATTCCTCCAGCGACGGCGATCGGATACTGCAGATCTAAGAGCATCCTTCATGTCTTGTCCAGCCATATTTTTAGTCGGCCTCCTCCTCGACGCCCCCGGGCGGACAACCGGGTAGGACTGAGGGCAACAACACTGAGGCAAACTATTGAAAACTGTTCTGATAGAAACGAACAGCGAGTTCCAGGAAGCAGTTTAGAAGACGAAGGTTCAACCACTGGAACAAGAAATTTATTGGCTCGGCATTTCAGATTCTCACTCGAGCCCATCATCAGAGACAGTCACAGATCTGATTGGTGCAGTTGCAGTTGCGGACAAAGTAACTACGTCGGAGAAACTGGGTGACCACTCCGTACGCAAATGGCCGAGCACGCAGCAGCAATGAGGCGCGGAGACGCTAGCTCGCAGGTGGTGGCTCATTCGACGGGACCCGGCCATATTTTCAAGTTTCAAGAGGCCGAAATCCTCACAAAGGGTGACAACCGCGTGAGCCGCTTGCTGCTCGAGTCATGGTTCTCGGGCCCGCAGTTCACCAACCGGCGCAATGGCCTCGCTTTACCGTTATCCGTGCTGAGATTTTCCCTGGGCAGGGGAGTCAGTCACGTGGAAATGGCGCGGGTGAGCAATAATTCCAATGACAGTGAGCCAATTTGCTGAGCAATCGGCACACCAGCATCCAACACAGATGACGAAATCGTGGCCATTAAAGACTCGAACGCGGGTTGACAAGCCGTCATCGCATCAATTGCGGCCTCAGCGGTGATTGCGAGAGCTGTTAATTACAGTACGTATATGGTCCCACGACAACCACGGGCTATAAATGCTGCACTCCTTTAGCCACCAATACCCATTATCTGCGACTGTCTCTGATGATGGGTTTGAGGGAGAATCCGAAACCTCAGGCCAAGAAATTTCTTGTTCCAGTGGTCGCATCTTCGTCTTCTGAGTAAAACGTGCCATACCATCTCAGTCGTCATTTTTGAATAGCCTCATATATATACAGCGAGGTTGTTACAGAGAGTGCGGACGGTCCCATTTGAGACAGAGGATAGTCCTCAGTGACCGAACACCTCTGGTTTTCGCTTATCTTCTAGGCGCACAAACCAGCATTCTCAACCGTAAAGGAAGACCGACCGGATAAATACACGGTACACACGGATCTTCATGGCGATGGATATGTCGCGTCAGATTCATAGACATTTTCTAAGGATTGTGAAAACCCTGCGAACGACAATGATTCGGGGGACGAAATCAGCCGCACTTTATCCATTCGGCAGCAGCCTTAATATAGGTATTTGAAACTACTCAGTCCTCTAGGCTGACAGTCATTAACCTCGAAGGCTGTCCACTCATAGTCAGCGATACGGTTCAAAAACACTTTGGTATCCCAGGGTTTACGGATAAAGGGACCGCATTGGCGATGTTACTTACCCCTGACGCCCGAAGCTGTAGATTAAATAAACTTGGGACTAGCAAGGCAACATTACCAACGTACTCACGATCAGTCAGCCAGTGACCGGGAGTAAACTCAAAACCGTCAGGACACTGTACGGCCATTGCGGCAAACCAACCAGTGGCCTTGTTGGCCTGATGTTTCGGATTATCTCTTGGACGTATCAACATAGACAGTGGCAAAAAAGGATAGTAGAAATACAAGGGGTGCTGCATCTGTAGTATGCAGTGACCCGGCAACCACATGTCCACAATAATTAGCAGCACTTGTGCTCATGGCTGGGGGTCGTATTTGATGCAAGGATTGATTGTTGGCCCGTACCCGAGTCGCTAATTGTCGTGATTTCATCACCGTTGTTGATTCTTGGCGTGACGACTACTCGACCACTTGGCTCATTACCACTGTAACTGCTGATCGCCCGTGCCCTCATGTTTGGCTAATTATTTTGCCTAGGCAAAATCGCAGAACAGCATATGAAGGCAGAAGGTCATTGCGCCTGTTAATTGGATGCGGGCCAGAGAACCATGATTCAAGCTGCTCGCGGCTCGTCAAACTTGAAGGTCGAATGAGTCGCAAGCTGAGAGTAAGCGTCACACCTCCTTCCTGTTGTTTCATGTTTGGCCATTTGTGCTCGGAGTAATCTTCCAGTCCGCAACTGCCTCACATTCAGTAAACGACTCCAAACTTTTTCTCTCGTGACAGTGGGTCTTCCGACCTCACGATCTGGCGCCTAATGGTTGCCTACGATCTGTTTGCAACTCCAACTCCGAGTGGTGTGAGAAGACGGCCGACGGCTTCCGAGACGTTTTTCACGTACAGGAGCGCTCGCTGAAATTTGAGACGGGTCGATTTTTGTCCCTCGTCGCGTTTATTCATGCACCAGCTTATGAAGTTGCGCGGGTATCCATTCGCCCTAAGCACCTGTCGAAGATACTATAATTCAGCAACCATGTCTCACGGTTCTCTGAAATGTCTCTCTACACTCCGGTATAGCGCTCTCATGCAACTACGTTTGCGGCTGATTGGGTGGTAACTGTTGAAACTCGTCGTATTTGCTGCTTTCCTGAACACTTTGGTTTTTATACCATCACAATCTTTGCGGCAGACGAGAGCATTAATAAAGACTAGCCGGTCGTATTCTTCCTCCTCCATCGTGAACTGTACACGTGGGAATACGGTATTGGGATGTTCTTTGAATGCCGTCTTCTGACTCTGTTCGAGGACGACGGTGTCATCCACATAGCGTGTCTGGAATTTCACCCTGCGGTGCCGGAAGACCAACTGTTGTAGGGCCGCCTCAGTTATGAGTCCCGAAATCGATGAATCCACTGGCGTGCCTTTCACCTGATCGTAATCTCTTCCGTCAAACGTGAAGTATGTTTTGAGACAGAATTTCTGGATTTGGGGGATTTGGGCACGTCTCGGACGATTCTCCGTTTCACAGTACTTGTTCTTTAAGAGTAATCCGACGGTCTCGACTGGTAGATGCTGAGGAATAAAAGTAAAATGGGACATGAAATCAAAAGATACCATGGCGCTGCTTGACAGGAGAATTAACCCTACAAGTTTCTCCAAGAATTGTGTTGACGAGCTGACTTTGGTGCCTGAATTAGCGGTCATAAATTTAAGACACCGGAACGGCCACTTTGCCAGTACGTAATTTGGAGTGCCCTTGAGTAATACGATGGGTTGAAGAGAAGCGCCCTCTTTGTACACTTTTGGTAGATTATAGAATCGGGCCAACGCCGCTTCTTGCGCCCTCGCTATGCGTCAGTCGGCCGACAATATCGCACCTGAGTTCTTCATTACCAATAACGTCCCACTTATTTCGGCTGTCAGCGTTTTTATGGGGTTGGATTCCCATAGGACATAGAACCAGCAATCTTATAGCAAGATTTTGACCTTCTGAAACCAGTCTTCTCTATCCAATGAGATGGTGGAACTCTTCTTGTCCGGAAGCACGATAACGATAGGCGTTGGACTCCTAACCAACAGGTCATGAGTTCGAGCCTCGAGGGTTGTATAGTTAACACGTTCTAACTCCAGAACTAACAACATCCCTCATCACCACTTCACGGCATTTTTGTCTCTTCCTCATAAAGCTTGTGCCAGTGCTTCGATGGGCCGGTTTTTTGCTTTGGCCAATAGACAACCACAATCGACTTGATATTATTTTGAATGAGGATTGTCTGACTTCTACAGACGTGAGCCCAACACGATCGGATTCCAGTTGTAGTGAGGCTCGATGGCGCACAGTCAAAGGCCTGATATGGGTAGTCTCGAGAATTTAAATCTCCTGATTCGCGCCAGCGGCAGCAGTATCGCTATCCCTCTTCTGTATTCCTCGTTTTGACCAGCGAAGACATCGCTCGCACTTCCACCACGTGTCCCAAACGTGCTGACCTGAGGACCAAGGCCACGCGTGCAGTCGTGGTACCCGACTGTATCAGGCTAAGACAGCACACACTAAGAAAAACACATCAGTTCAGACCTCTGCTAGTTAGATGCATACCCAACTGTACACAGGATGACCGGCCACTCAAAACCCCCTCTCTATCTTTTTTTTCTCTCTCTCTCTCCTTTTGACACGACCTAGCAGCCAGCAAATGTCCTGGCGTGGCCAGCGTTCCGTCTAGAATAAATCTATTCCTCCTGTCTTACTCCCTTCTACGACTGTCTACGCTTTCTTTCTGGCCGTGGTTTTTAAAATAAACTTGCCATTCTGACTGTCAAAAGTCTATACTACTGGGAAAGTAAAGGTGCAAATGTCGCTTATCAGCCTCACCGCTGCCGTGACCAGGATGACGGCGCTCAAAGGTCACATAAGGAGACCGAGCGACCAAATCGTGATCAGTGGAAGTTGAAAGAAGCGCTAGGAAGCTGAAGACTTGGGTTAGGGTTAATTTAAATTGTCTTACGGTTATGAGTACTAGAGTTAGGATCGAGGCTAGCAAAGTTAACATCAGGGTTGGCGACATTGCTAGGGCACAGGAATAGGTAGCCCTGAGAACTGAACGCGAGGACACTTGTAACACCCCGCGGTCCATATTTCCGTGTCCGACCCTCGAATAATCTTCCCCGTAGAAACATTTCCTCAGTATGCTTAGACGCCCAGAACATGGCTCACCGTCCTGCATGCCGTCGTTTTGTACTAGTAAAATCTCGCTTGTTTTTGCACTTCGTGGCCTAATAGTTCTGGGCTTAGATACATAGCAAATGTCCGGAGGAAAATTGTTGTTTTGATCGATAACTTCAATAACACTGATTCGCTGTAATTACCTAAGCAAAATTCAGATTTTGAAAACCTTTCGATTTCGAATTATTGTAACAGACCGTGAAGGTATATTGGGTGGCGACTCGGCTTTTACTCTGAGAATGTTTCAGGGGTTTGTGGTGGAAGACAAAACAAGATGGTTATGATAACAAAGCCATAAGCTGAGGAGCAATTGATAAAGAAACTATCCAACGGACCCACATTACTTTTGACGAGGATCTCGGCGTTATCTGTTGAAAAAATTCTTCGACTGGAAGGAGTGGTTAGTGCGAAAACATTCATTGTTCCCATTGAGACACGAAAACTTAGTGCATTCAGAAACTCCAAAAAGTGCAAACAAGTTTACCTGAGTATACGAAACCAGTTTTAAACTAGGGAATTCGGTCGTATTCTAGTCGTTATAAGCAGAATTTGGTAGAGGGGTATCCAGCAGTGGGTCCACGCGATGGTCGTAGTAGGTTGCTCACTTGCTTACAAGTGTTGACTACATCTACTGTCCATTGTCTGGCACCCAACTCCCATATGTGGCTCCTCGAAGCTAGACCCTGCCTGGTGACCACACGCCGGTAACCGCCTCGACCGGCGGGCTAAACCAGGTTGATGATATCAGCTGGTATGGTTGTCCCCACACCCGGTAACTCTGATCCCTCCTTCCCCCCCTACTTCCCTCCCTTCTCTCCCCCTTCCCATCCCCTTCCCCCTCCCCTCCTCTCCTCCCTCCCACTCTACTCTCATCCCTCTGCTCTCTTCCCGCACGGCCGAAAAGTCCTACGGCGAGGACGACATGCAATCGCGTAGGCGGACCAGGCCAATCAGGTCGTTCTCTCGGTAGACCAATCCGTGACCCATAGTGGAGCTCGGCAGTCGTCTGGGGAGACTCAGAAGCCCTATTTGGGGACAGAACTATTTGCTCTGGCGAGGGAGAAGGGGCCACAAAAGATGCCCTAAACAAATGCTGGATTCACGACATCTGTGCACAGACCGTGGGTCGCAGACTAATGCATGCGGTGGAAACAATCAAACAAGAAACCACAATTGCTCTCTCCTCCTCCTCCTCCTCCTCCTCCTCCTCCTCCTTCCCTTCGCCCTGCTCCACAGGCTGCTAAGGTGAGTCCGCTCACTCTGACAGCCTGAAGTGTTCGTGCCCTTTTAGACAATATAGGAAGCAGCCAACCGGAACAGAGAACGGCGTTAGTTGCTAGAGGGCTGGCGCACCACAAGATGAAAATTGCTGCACTCAACGAGACCCGGTTCTCCGAACAAGCTCAACTGGAGGAGGTGGGTGCCGGCTACACCTTCTTCTAGAGCGGTCGCCCGAAGACAGAGCAACGAGATGGGGCGCCACCCTTGTCATCTGGAACGGCATCGTGAGTTGACTGCCATGTCTGCCACAGGGCATTAACGACCGACTGATGAGTCTGCGCCGTTCTCTTCGGGTGTCACCATCATCCATGCCTAGGCCCCAAAAATGGCAGGCTCAGAGGAGACGAAGAAAAAGTTATACGAAGACCTGCACGCCTTCTGACGTCTGTTCCGAAGGCGGGCAAGCTAGGCGTCCTTGGTGACTTCGATGCCCGCTTCAGGGCAGACTGCGCTGTCTTGAGGGAGTGCTGAGTCCTCACGGGGTCGGCGGCCGCAACGGCAATAGCCCCCTTCTACTGCGAACCTGCGCTGAACATTGTCTCCTGCTGGCCAACAATTCTTCCGCCTGCTTATGTGGAGGAAGGCCACGTGGGTGCATCCCCGATCGCGGAGTTGGCAGTCGCTGGACCATATTCTCGTCCTTCGACGTGATCGAGAGGACGAGCTCGTGACCAAATCGATCTGCGACGCCAATGGCTGGACGGACCACCGCCTCGTCATCTCCAAGAGGAGGCTCTGCCTGCAACCCCGCAA